CGAGTCCCACATCGAGCCCCACATCGGGCTCCCTGCTCAGCGGGAAGCTGCTTCTCCCTCTCCCACTCCCCCTGCTTGTGTTCCCTCTCTCGCTGTGTCTCTCTCTGACAAATAAATAAAATCTTTAAAATAAATAAAGCCAGCAGGCACCATCTCTTTCCTCCCTTCCTTCCTCTTTCTTCTCTTTCTTCCTTTCTTTTTCCTTTTTTTTTTAAGCAGGTGCAATCGTTTCACCTCTCCCTGCCTTGCTCCAGCCAGTGTGCACCATGTTTGCACTCTCCAGAGTGCAAGTATCTCCTGAAGGGGAGGTTCTACGTATGTCTGGTGCCCTGATTTTTATGTCTGATGACCCAGTTTTTGCAGTTGCCACCCAGGGGACACCCCTTCGTTTCCTGACTCTGGAGGCCAGGGATACCTGTGTTCCTAGGTCCCACTGGACTGTAACAATCAGAGACTGTGCTTGGCAGGCTACCATCCCCAGGGCACTGTACAGATAAGAGATTGAAACACACCCACAGCCTTTCTGTGAAAGAGGCCTACTTTGGAGCTTTGGAACGTTGGTTTTACAAGTAGGCTTCAGGTTTGGCACACATCTAGAAGCTACAGAGATGCAGGGAACATAGAAGAGGACACCATTTTTGCACCCTCCATCTTGCTCCAGGTCATGGGTATCTCCTAAAAGGGAGCTTATATACTCATCTGGAGCCCTGATTTTTGCTACTGCCTCTCAGGAAAGACCTCCAGATTGCCCGATGATGGTGACCAGCAGGGCTTCACTTGTGGTCCCAAAGGACTATATATATATTTGCATACTTTAAAAGCTGCTGCCTGAGCGTATGGCTTCCATTCACCTTGCATCTAGAAGCTGACTGAGATCTTCCCCTGGTCAGTCACTGACTGGTCTTGGCACACCCTCAACTACAGGGAGCTATTAAAATAGATAGGCTGCTTGTCTCACAAAGATTTGAGAGACAACCAAGAGCTAGGGAAAGGTTGAATGCTAAGGTTCAGCAACTACACAAGGCTACTCCTTCAATACTGGGAGAGGTGGCTGTTTCATCTAATGCATAGAAATCAATGCTGAGCCAAACAAAATGAAGAAGCAGAAGAATATGTTTCAAGCAAAACAACAAGATAAAACCTCAGGGAAAAGAGAAAGAGAGAGAGAAGAATGAAAGAAAGAAAAAGAAAGAAGAAAGAGAAAGAAAGAAAGAAAGAAAGAAAGAAAGAAAGAAAGAAAAAGAAAGAAAGAAAGAAAGAAAGAAAGAAAAGAAAGAAAAGATCTAATGAAATGCAGATTAGAATGCCCTAAAAGTGAAAGATACTTTGCTTGGGGACATTTGTTTTAAAATAAAGAATTGAGATCCCTCACTCAGCTTTGACAATATTCCTTTTATGTTTGCTTATTTTCTATTAAAATAATTAAGCCACCTTAATTTATTCATTTCCAAATTATTTATAGAACATCAACTATGAGAATATCTTTATGATAATATTTAGGGAATTAATAAATGAGTGAACATGGTTGGACTTCTTCATCTTACCATGTAGAAGAAACAAAAGATTTTCCAAATAACTCTAAAAGCTGGCATAATGTGATGCATGTCTCAGAAGCAGGAGTGCTGCAGTAGTTTATTAGAGGGATTAAACACATCTGGTTTGGTGTATTAGGTCTTTTTGAAGGAAATAGCAAATGAGAAATCACTCCAGGAATCAGAAGAATATTAGCAGGCAAAATTTAGGGAGGGCATTCCTGGTGAATGGAAAAATGTTATCAAGGCCCAGAAGCTGGATTAGTGTATTAGGGATACAGGAAATACTTCACTTCCCTTTAATAATAGCCTGAGGAGGTTGGTGTGAAAAGAGATTCATTGGACCCATTATGTTCAATAGCCAAGATTTTTCAAATATTCTTCCTTCTCATCATAACATCTTTGGAGAAGTGCTTGTTCTCTCCTATAGGCTTTATTTCATTTTCTAAGTGGAATCACCTTAGTCCCACTGACATCAACATGCATTGTTGAATACAATACTGTGAACTTTCGTCTTAAAGACAAGTAATTTTCAAATCACCAGAGTCTTGAAGCGCCTGAGTGGCTCAGTCAGTTGAGCATCTGACTCCTGATTTTGGCTCAGGTCCTGATTTCAGGGTTGTGAGATCGAGATCAAGCCCCACTTTGGGCTCCACGCTGGGCATGGAGCCTGCTTAAGACTCTCTCCCTCTTCCTCTGCCTCTTCCCCACCCCACCCTCCATTACATGCGCATTCTCTCTCTCTCATAAATAGGTTCAAAACACCAGAGTCTTAATAACCTTAAGAAGAGAATAACATTGTATGCCAAAATAAGATCCTTTTTTGTTTATTAATTTTAGACATGTAATTTTAAAAACTATTCTAGAAACAATTTTATGAGAAGATATGCCGAAGTCAATAGGCAACAGTCGTCCTTATATTCAAAACAGTAATGACTGGTTTGTATTAAAATGTAAATATACTTCATTAATATAATTAACCCAGTTTTCCTGTGGTGGGTATTGTCTAGGTATATATTTTACCTTCCTTTTACTTTCAACCTTCCTGTGTTTTAAAGTTTTAGGTGTGTTTCTTTTGAACAGAACGTTACTAGCTGTTGAATCCAATCCGGCGGTAGTGATCTTTTCAGTCCATTTACATGTAATATTATGTGACTATGTAAGGATTTACTTCCATCATTTTATTATATGCAATATTTCCCCTTTGCTATGTTTTTTAAAACCCGTTTCTTCTTTTTTATCTTGTTGAATTGACTGTATGTTACCACATTGCAATTATCCCTTCTACTGGTTTAGAACAGGGGTCAGCAAAGTACCAACTATGGGCCGAACCTCACCCACCACATTTTTTTTAAGTAAAATCTTATTGGAATACAGTTACACATATTAGGGTGCATATCGCCGATGGCTGCTTTCCTGCTCCCACAGCAGAGTAGAGTAGTTGGGACAGAAAACCCAAGCCTAAAATATTTATTATCACATCTTTCACAGAAAAATGTTGTCAACCCTGATTTAAAATATACACACTACTTTGTGCTCTGAAGTTAATGAGTTTAATTTAATCATCATTAAGTAAAATGCAAAGCCTATTATTTCCAACCATCCACCTTCCATTGTATGTTGACTCTATTCAACCTGATTTGACAGTTTAATTCTTTTGATTTTTAAAACCACAATTATGAGACATTATTATTTATTTTAGGCTAGCCCCATGTCTCCCATCTTCTTGCTCATCGTTATTATATATATTTCCTTTTGGGGCTGTCTTTCTTCCTGAGGTAAAACCTTTAGCAGTGCCTTTGCTGTTGATGATAAACTCTCTCTCAGTTTTACTTGCCTAAGAATGTTTTTATTTTGCTCTAATGTTTGGAATAGTTTTGCTAGATATAGAATTCCACATGACAGTTATTTTTCCTTAGCAGTCTGAAGATAGCCATTATATGTTGACTGACTTCCAAGTTGAGGAGCCAGCTCTGATAAAGAGGTCAGCTGTTAGCCCAAAAGTTGTCTCCAGTTTTCTGGAATACTGATTAAATGGACGTTAGAACTCCCTTTAATCCTCATATACTTTAAGTTCTCTCAAATTTCCCATTGTATTATATTTTTCTTTCCCCAAAGTCCTATTGGTTCACTTAAAATATTTTGTATTTGTGTTTTTATTCTTTCTTCTTTAAAACATATAAAAATATACTTATTTATAAGTGTGTGTATGTATGTGGGTGTATGTGAATTATTGAAGAAAGTATAAAGATACATAATCTAAGATATATTATTGGCCTTGTGGCTCAATAGAGAATTATTTCCCTAGTTTGGGCTTTTTCTATAAGTATCTGCAGAAAAATAAACACAGTCCAACTTTTTAAGTAGGTTCTATTATATTTCACTACATAGTAGTAGCCACTGCGAACTGGGGAAAAAATACTGTTCACCTCACTAACCCCTCAGCTTAGATTCTGTTTCCAAACTGGCTGGGTCCAGGGACTGTTTATGCAGTATTTTGTCTCTTATCCTTCTATATATAATCTTCAGAAGATGTAGTGCATCTACCCATTCTCTCTCCATTGTGTATATGTGTTGACCTTTGAGGAATGATGGGAGGCTAGCTGCCTCTGCAAAGTTGAAACTGAGATGCAAAGGTTAAGGTGCGTGTTTTAAAACTTCTGAAATATCTCTTTCTTTTTAAAGGCTATATCTGATCCAGGTTCTTCTGTCTTTGAAAGACCCATGTTTCAAACGACTTTAACAAATATTACAACAGACGTTGAGGTAATTTTGCAGAACCAACAAATATTACAACAGACATTGAGGTAATTTTGCAGAACCCTTGCTCTTTTTAAATTGCTAACTTGGATATAGTGTCACTTTTCTGCCTAAATAAGAATAAATACTGGCATTGATTGTTACTTTTCCTACTTTCTCCTCAATTATGATCTTAACCAAACGTGATAAAATACAGATGTATATATGTATACTTAGCAACGTATATGTTTCATCAGCAAAGGCATCTTCACTTCTAACTTTAAAAAGTTCCAGGCTGAAAAAATAAAATAAAATGCAAAGGAGAAAACCTAGAACTGCAAATAATCTGAAATGAAAATTGGATGATAGATGGAGCACTTGACTGAGTAGTTATGAGATAGTGACTTGTTTTTGGGAAAGAGGATTTCTTCTGCCTTGAACGGAACTGCATCAAAAACATTACTCATTGTAAATTTCTTGGGAGATGATATTTGCCAGACTGTATAGTAGCCAGTAGACTCTGGCTCAGATTCGATGACGGTGAAATAGGGATTATAAAATGACAGTTCTTGAGAAAAAAAATAATTTTCGATTTTCTTTCTTGTGTTTTTCTTATTTCTTTAGTTCACCGCAGACGATTTATTTTTGCCTTAGTTTTAAAGAACTTGATATTTGTGATTTATGCCTTTCTACTTTCAAAAAGAGTTAGGGCCACTTTAGAAAGCAAGATACATATAAAGCAAGAAATTTAAAAACAAACACACAAACAAAAAGCCAATACCTAACTAGCTAAAAAGTCCTGAGTTGTTTGGATCCTGTTAAAACAGGCTACATTATTCTGGCTTCTGATAGTAGCTTAAGTATTACCAAAGTAATACTACAAATATACTGTTATAGCTATTTGAGAATAATTTAACTGAGCATATGTGCATATATGTATATACAGTCATATACCTAGTCTGAAAAATTATGAAAATACTGATGCCAATTATTTCCTCTCAAGTGAAAAAGAACAAGTGAGATAATTTTCCATCCTTATCATTTTTGCTATTTTAAAAATTTCTTTGTTGTTTGGGCAGATTAAGAAGATATTTAATTCATGGATTGTTGCTTTATCCATTTAACAGTGGATTATTTATTAAAAACACAAAAACCAGTTTTGGCAATTAAAAACAACATAAGGAATCATGTAATCCACCAACATTTTACATCTGATATTCTTAGAGTCTCAGCGTATGACATACTTACATTTTTGTATCCCTCTTAAATAAAGAGCCAAATCAGTAGAAACTAACATCACAAGTTTAATATATTTTAAAATATAGAAATATATTTAAACAGCACATTTGAAGAATCATATAATAGACTTCCGTTTCTTATTCTTACAATGGTACACTATTTATTTAAAAATATATTACTTAATGTACCCCCCAATATAGTTATTATCAAATTTTCTTTGATAAACTGTATTTTAAAACAACATTGTAATATACCTGAATTACAAACAAAAACCATAATATTTTTGAAGCTATTTCTGATATAAGTTTTATTTGAAAAGTCCAAAAATGTGATTAATAAATGGTGCTTTATGAATATTTTAGATGAGCTGTAAATAAGCTTAACCGTGGAGCCACCATAAATTGCAAGTAATCCATCTAAATGCCATTCTTCCGAAAGTTAATGTGTGTTAAAGAAAAGCCTTAGAAGGCAAAGAAAGAAAATAAATTAATTTCAGAGGGAAGAATACACATGCATATACACACAACAGAACCTTCCCATTTGGAATTATTTGTGCTTGGAGGAAGGTTTACAAAATCCTCTTACAAAATAAGGTTTTCATTGAGCTCGTTCTCAAAGATATGAAAAATGGATTTCAGCTGTTCTTTCGAAATGGCAATTCTGTCAAAGCCATTCTGGGATTTTTGGTAATTTCCTTCACTTTAGTTTCAGTGCTTTTACCCTAAATAAAATCCCTTGCATCACATCAATCAGCAAACTCAGTTATAAAGGAGAGCTAAAGAAAATGGCTCTGTCGGCATCTTTGCGCGCTATGTTTTATGAATGCAGTGACTCTTGTCTGTGGGGAGGGAAGTAGAGCGCATGTAAATGTTTCTTTATTTTGGACTGTTTTTAAATCTGAAAAAAATCTGCAGCAGTAGTGTTCTAGATAATAGGCAGACATGATTTATTTGAGGTAAGAAGGTTGTACTACAATTTTTTAGTGTTAACTTGGAAAGTTATGGACACAGGCTCAAGCCTGTCTCCACAGAATTCCTGAAGCTTTGAGCGCTTTGCAAAATCTACAATACACAAGCCAAGAAGGAACATGCTCCTCCAGTTACACCAACTCTGTTAAAGCAAACAGTTATAACAATTATGTGTAATCTTTCAGCCTCTATGTTCTGCCTACAGCTTATTTATTCAAATCCAGGTCAACATTTCATTTTATCTAATGAAGCAGAAACTCTGAAAGAAAAATTGTGTTTATCCAAGCATTTTTGTTTGGGTTTTTTTTTTTTTTTTTTAGTTTTATTTCTAAATAAATATCCTATCAGTTTTCACTGGCACAACATAACCAAATGCATTCAATCTCCTTCACCAGTGATTAACATGCAAAGGAGTTCTGACTAATTTCAGAACATTATAAAAAAATCGTATTAGAAAAAATGTTGAAATGGAATTGAATTGGACTTAGCATAGCCCATTGAAAGTTACACCAGGCTATCTATTGTGTAACAGACCTATGAAATAGATTTTATTGATAAGGCATCCACAAAGGAGAATATATACCTTTAAATAAATAAAAGTGACTATATACACAATATTGTACATAGGTACAGAGATGAAATGAACCAGACTAATTTTATGAAATTCCCTTCTTGTCTGAAAGCATACTTTTTATTATAGTCATAAACCTTAATACAGATCTTCTTCTTGTTACCATTACTACTTAACATCAGTGGCAGCCACATGAGCGCACTACCATATTTCTGTATTTTTTCAAAATGACATTGGAGCTGTCGTCAAAGTACAGCACGGAGATGGCATTTAATTTGGTTGGAGCACAACAAGGCTTTGGTACGTGGTCAGGAAACATCAGATGAACCTGGGAAAGAAACACATGTTTTGTTTTTTTAAGAAACAAGATAGACACTTTGTCTACAGCTTTCAAATAATATTCTTGTTTTGTCACACTATCAGGCACACCCTTAACTATCACTCTTCTATTTATGTTCAATGGCTGAGTTGGGGGTTGGGGACTGGTAGTGAAGGATGTATTTTTAAGCATTAACACCTAGAGTCAACTCACCAGTTCTAATTATGTGTTGGGGCCTTGAAAAATATTCTACCAAATAAGGAAAACTCCTTCTACGGAATATTCGGTGGAAATTTTCCTGGGGGAAAGAACATGGCAACTAGCACTGAGTTGCTTTTGGTTAGAACAATTACTTCTATCTACTTCATGAGAAATACAAAAGTTATAAATGCAAATCAATGCAGGGACACAATGAGACTATAGAAAAATTTGAATCTAAGAATTATCTTTTAAAGGGCAAACAATAAATCATAAAAGTTACACCAACTCTTAATTTTCCACAGTAAAGGATACATAAAAATCACAGCAAAGTGAACTCCAGGTATAATCCAAAACTTGTTTTAAAGCAATGACTTCAACTCTTCTCTACAGAATTTTTTACCAGACTGGCTGGAGTTTAATATCCTTTTACTTTCCTTCTCTCCTAGACAAGTGCCAAAAAGCACGTTCGGCTAAATCAGAAGTACGGAGCCTCGATATTTTACAAATTGAATATCGCTCTCTTCCAAAAGCCTCAAAAGGTAGCTGTACACTGAAAGTGAAATGCTTAAGCAAAGGGTTTATTCTCATTTTGATCAGACTGGCAGTCTGCCTATGATTTGCGATCATTGAGCAAGGAGCCAGAACATGGTTCCCCCTTTCCCACCCACCTACCCTGGCCCTTCCCCCAAAGGAGTTTATGGGAAGTCCCACTGATGAGTCCTAAGGGATCCACAAAAAGCCTCTTAGAGTTTTGGCTGCACAATGTCCTGGCTGAAATGATATAGGAGCCCTGCATGTGGACAGAAACAGCAGGAAAAATGAGGTGATCTGACATGAACTTGAAATTTCCTAAGACCTCACAAAACTAAAAGTTGGATAGTTTCTACAAATTTCAGATGCAGCTTGTGTCCCTCATCAGCTTGATCTTCCATAACCCACACATACATGATTGATAACCCCTTGTTTCAATGACCTTGGCAGCTTCGCAAAGCAATCGTTCTGAAAAAAAAAAATGGATTGTTCTTGAATGGTTTCTCAAACATATTAGTCACAAATATGCTTTCCTTTAGCAACAAACATGCCTGTCTTCTTGTTTCATGTACTTCACAGAACAAACGTACAGAGTGCACAATGCCAGGAAAAAAAAAAAAAATCAAACTTCCCATGTATGCTTCAAGTTTTGCAATTACTTATGTCCCATATCCCAGGACAGTGAGGCAGAGCAGGGTCTTGTTCCAAGTCCCCATCAGATGTTTTGGGTTTTTTTTAATGTTTGTTTTTTGACACTGCCTTCTAGACTACAGCCCTAAAAGCTGACAATACGTGGTTATATATTCATAAGAAAAAAGAAAAAGAAAAATGAGAGGGAGAGTGTTTTGACAGAGTTTTTTCAATAATTAAGCATTGCTTAGCCTGAGGCAACCTTTGATACATTAGATACATATTTAATGAAGCAGAAGTCTGCTTTCTGAGTCATTGAGATGACAATATAAGGAGGCAAAGAATTTTCTGAGATATTAAGTGTCATTCCTCTATAAGCTAAGAGTGGCTGTAGCTTTGACCCTATGGAAAGACGGTGACCATGGCTATTCTTCCAAGGATTGAAACAGCTGCATTTGTCTCTCTGTGCTTGCCTTTTGGGTCATCATGAATCCCCATAGGCAAGGCTAGACGGCTAGCGTTCACAGAGATTCTTTTTACTGGAAGAAGTTGGAATACAACACACCCATCCTTGAAAAGCTCCCCATCCCCCAGAAATGAGATCCTGTATCAAGAAGTACTTCTATTTATAGATATAGCAAAGATGAAAGCATAACAAATCTTAAAATTTCCCCAGGAACTTCCTCTATACTTTGCATATGGCACAGAAGTAGGCAATCTCATTGGTCAAGAATAAGAAGAAGAATATTTATAAATGACCGCCTTTCAAAATATGCATTTGTTTTATCTCTCTGTTTGTCTTTACTCCAAGGTTATTTCCAGAGTTTTTGGCAACACCCACGCTCTAGTTGCCATAGACGTGCATCTTTGCTGTCTCTTTTCCAGTACCTATGATGTCCAGACCAGAAAACCTCAAGTCATTCAAGGATTTAATCTGTCAATTTATATATACCATTCCTTATTCAGAAGAAAACTGGGATAGTCTTTCCATCAGCTTTAAATTTTAAATTAATTCTGAAAAAAAAAATAACCTCAAGAGTCAACCCACAAATTCTAATAGTTCAGTTTTTTTTGTTGATCATAAACAAGACTTACCCACAAAGATAGATTATTTTTTCCTTATGGCTACTGCTTTCCTACTGCCATTCACCAAATAGCTACTTCTGTTACTAAGTCTTGAATCTAAACAATTTATCCTCTTCCTTCTATCTCGATGACATATAGTTAAAATGTTCATATTAACCAAAACATTAATTCAGAATTTTATCACATGGTCTATTGCACCTTCTAGGAGCCTCTCACTTAGTCTTCCAGAGATTGTACCTCTGCCCGATCAGTAAGTCCCACACCATAAGGCAGGTATGTCAGACTCTCAAGAGCTTTCATGAGCTCATTAGATACAGTACAACCATTTAGAGAACACAAAATCAACATTTCATTATTGTTTTCACAAAAATAAGCCCAGGTTATTAGAGATTAAATCACTGCTAAATTCCTGAATGAGGAAAGGAAAAAATGAAGATGAAATGCCACCTTAAAGATTATAAAAAATATAAGGATCATGAAATAGAAATGAATCTTCTACTTATTTATATTCTACTTGAAGAAGTTTCATAATACTAAAGTATGTTGTGGAACATTCTTAAATAATTAGAGTAAAAGCCCTCAGATGAAATTCAATAAGGACATTAGTCAATGTTTTTGCAGTGATTACTAATGAATTGCTAGGTTAGAAATAGCCCCTGGGAACCTGTGTGGTTAATCATATTGCATAGTGAAGAAATCAGTACAGACTGACCACTTCATGTGGTTACTCCAATTTTCCTAACTGAATCCTTCCCCATTCTGGAATCAGGACTATTCTTTAAACCAGCCTGAATTTCCTGACTATACCCACAATTGTTACTTTGGCTCTAAAAAAAAAGTACCAAAAGGGCTTTAAAGAAAAAAATAATGCATTTATAGCTATAAATGGATGCTTTCCTTTAAAATAACGTTTATATGATGCTTGCATCATAAACCATTTTCAATTCTATGAAGACAAAGCATACCAGAGTCTGAACTATGGCATGGTTGGTGGCATTCATGTGAGCATTGAGTGGAAAAGAACATTCTCCATCACAATAAAATGCAGCATATCCTTCTGGTGCTATAATCCAGTCCTAGAATGCACACACACAAAAAAAGAAAGAGAAAAAAAAAGAAAAAGAATAAAAGAAATCACCAAAATAAAAATAAAGTAATTCTTAAATAATACCCACATTTAGTCTGGCTAGGTTTCTCTTCTTCATCCAACAATTATTCTAACAAGACAGCCACCCTCAAGCCCTTAATTTATTTTTAAGTTGAAGTTTACAACACAAGTATAAATATTTTCACAAGAAATTGCCCTCTGTAATTTCTCCCAAGAGGTTGCTATGTAGGATATTCATAGTATGCATTAATTCATGTATTCATGAATAAAACCATAATCATTAAATAGCATTGTAAATATTGTTTAAACAGGAAATGATGAACTCTGGAAAGTTCAAGCTAACCAGAAAGGAAAAGAAGAATAAACTTAATTGAGATAATTCCCATTACTTCTTAATAACTCACTCCTGGTTTTAGAAGCCTGACAACGTCCAAAAGCTTTAATATTTGTTCCTTTTACTGTTTTTCTTTCCATTCACGTGTTAACTTTATAGTCTCTTTGGATGAAATGAATTGGAGCAAATTCTTGAGAACTGCGTATGAAATTTTGGGGGAAGCCAAAAAATGGGCATAGGTTGCCCTGATTTTTTTTTCCCCAAGAAGTAAAACTTATTGAATGAATTGTGTTGAAAGTTTATCATAAAATTTTAAAATGCTTACATTTTATATTATTTTTCAATGGGATAGCCCAAATTCAATTCTGCGAATCCATTGTAATAGGATAATGTAGTCTAAAGACTTCAATTTAAAGTACCAATCCATAAAGACATTAAAAACTATTTTGGTTAGGGCGCCTGGGTGGCTCAGTTGGTTAAGCGACTGCCTTCGGCTCAGGTCATGATCCCGGAGTCCCGGGATCGAGTCCCGCATCGGGCTCCCTGCTCAGCAGGGAGCCTGCTTCTCCCTCTGACCCTTCCCCCCTCTCATGTGCTCTCTGTCTCTCTCATTCTCTCTGTCTCAAATAAATAAATAAAATCTTAAAAAAAAAAAAAAAAACTATTTTGGTTAAATCCTCCTCCTCACCCTGTTTGGGAAGCATATGGAAAAGACAGCGATAAAACTTTTAGGTTCGGGGGAAAAAAAATTTTTTTCTGTAGCTCTACTTTATAACAGACATTGTAGTCAAGGATTCTATTTCCTAGCCCTAGAGTTTGAGGCCTTGGGGGCAAATGGAATTGCTCAAGTTAATCTGAAAAAATGGTATTAAAATTAAAACTTTGGGATATTTAAACAGCACCTTTTCCCACCTTCTAAATATCATAGGGTTACATTTCTTCTTCAGCATAGTTGTTTTTTACTGTAAACCTTAATAATGATGTTTCAATGGTGGGAGGATAATGGGGAAATAAAAATGATGTGGATAACCCATATACTGAACAGTCATATCAAAAATAATTGGTTAGTGTACTGGAAAAATTACTAACAAAGATTACGAGTAACTCCAGATTTATAATAAAAGAGAAAAGAAACACCTAAGTTGACTGATTGTCCTTACCTGCCATCCCAGATCCCGGAAACTCACATAGAGTTCATGCTTCTTACAGGCTTGTTTTTGTTCACTTGTATTATAATCTGAAGATAAAAATCAGATTTTAAACAAATGTCAGCCTATCAGTATCCTATTATTTCTTTTGTGAGATCACTGATAAAATTAAAAAGCTGTATTTGATGTTGTAAAATATGAACTTGAATCTTAAAGCTAGAGCCACTTAACTAACCACGTGAACTGTAGGCAAATCACTTGTCCGGAGTTTCTTCTTCTGTAAAATGGAGTCGATACCATTTACCTTGTGAGGTTCTGACAAGAATTTGGTTAGACTCCCTGTTTTATGGTGCACAATCTGATGCCTGTCATTCATTGAGTACTGGCTGCTCAATGAATGCTCATTTATTAATTAATTCACACTATAGTAGTACTTAATATATTTCATATATTAAATATTCATGCAATATTTTTTAACATCTTCCATGAGGCAGACCCTGGGAAAGTACCAACTGGAATCTTACAGAGTTGATTTTATTTTAATAAATATATTAAACTCAGAATACTCAAAGTTGAACTTTTGATTCTTCCCCCAAAACCTGTCCAACATGTAGACCCTTCCATTTTTGACTGATGGCAGCTTTCCCAGCAAAGACAGAGAAACAGAAATAGAGAGAGAGAGAGAGAGAGAGAAAGCCAAAATATGCTGTTTTTTCCTCTTACTCTCACATCCAATCTATCAAGAAATCCTACACATTCTACCTTCAAATAGGTCCAAAACCCACCTACTCTTACCACCTCCATGACTATTCCTGGTCCAAGCTGCCATCATCTTTCCCCTGAATCATTGCAATATTCTCATTGCTAATTCTCCTTGTTTCTGTTCTTGCTCATCTACAACAAAGCAGTCAAGTAGACCTTCTAACAAGTAACTCAAATTATATCACTGCCCAGCAAGAAGTCCCACTGGGTTTCCCTGTAGCACTAAGATTGAAATATCCTCTGTGGTTTACAAGGCCCTATCTGATTTGACCCCATTACCTCTTTGACTCATTTCCCACTACTCTCCCTCTCTGTCGCTCCATTCTGGCCATGACACTGCCTTGCTGTTTTCCACCCAGCTCAGCTTCCTCCCACCCTCACTCTTCCCTCTCCTCCTAATGCTTTTCCCTTGGATATATATATACACAGCTAACGCCTATAGCTTTTCCAACTTTTCATTAAAGCATCATCTTGTCAGTGAATCCTTCACTAACTACCCTATTTAAGACTGCAACTCCCACTAAGGTATTCCTGATCTCCCTCACCTTGCTCTTATTTTTTTTCCACTTCATTTATTGTTTAATATGTCAACCCTTTTACTCATTTATTATGCACATTTCTTCTTTTCTGTTTCCTCCCCCTAGAGTGTCAGCACTACAAGGTCAAAAATCTTAGTTGGTTCTGTTTGGTTTACTGAATATATCCCAAGTTTCAGAAACAGTCTCTGACACACAGTAGGTACTCAATAAATATTTGAGGAATTAATAAATGAATTCCTCAATGTGTTCCACAAATGACTGGAAGGAAAGGAAATACATTATTTCCTTTACATATTTTAGAATACAATCTGAAAAACCCATAACCTTTTATAATTGTTTAAAAGAATTAAGGCTAGGGTTGCCTGGGTGGCACAGTGGGTTAAGCGCCCAACTTGTGGTTTCAGCTCAGGTGGTGACCTCAGGGTCATGAATTCGAGGCCTGCGTCAGGCTCTGTGCTGAGTGTGCAGCCTGCTTAACATTCTCTCTCTCCCTCTGCCCCTCCCCCACCCTCTTGCTTGCTCCTAAAAAAAAAAAAAAAAAAAATTAAGGATTAAAGGAGAGCCTCAATATTGCATCTGGACTAAAGTAATACTAAAGAAACACAGAGCTTTACAGAAAATCTCTGTTGTCGGGGCGCCTGGGTGGCTCAGTTGGTTAAGCGACCGCCTTCGGCTCAGGTCATGATTCTGGAGTCCCGGGATCGAGTCCCATATCGGGCTACCTGCTCAGCGGGGAGTCTGCTTCTCCCTCTCCCGCTCCCCCCTCTTGTGCTCTTTCTCTCTCTCACTCTCTCTCTCAAATAAATAAATAAATAATTTAAAAAAAAATTTGAAATCTTTGAAAAAAAAAAGAAAATCTGTTGTCTTCTTTGGCGTTTGTTCACACTTTATACAAACAGCATTCTAAAAGCTAACCCATTTTTATTATTTCCAATACGAAATACAAAAGAGGTAAAAATATAGGGTTAGGGAGCAAAATAACTTATCCTCAAAGAAGACAGCTAATCTTTTCTTCTAGGAATAACTACTACGTTAACTCTGACAGTCTTCTCTGTCAAATCAATGTAGCAGTTTACTCGGCAGAGTAGTGTGTCCTAAGATGTCACCTTCCAGCTTAATTATCCTCAGCCTCTAATGAAAACATAGGCACCTCAAAAATCCATGGAGCCTGTCTTAGAGGGTCTTGCCATCCACCTCTCACAGCTACTTCAAGTAATTCTTTATTTAATTTCTGCCTAGAAAACAAAATAATGATTAAATATTGAACTCAGACTTTTTTACTTCTAGGTCAGAGTTATTCCTGCTGTGCAATTAGCTTTATTAAAACAAATTAAGTATGTAGATAATGACGGAAAATGGAGAAAGAGAATTTATTTGGAATGCAACACTCTTATTCTTTAGGTAAACTTTTTCCCTGATCAGAATGGCGCAAGGAGTTAATTTTGTCCAGGCGATGGACAAGCATATGGTAACACTAAGTACAATAACATTAAATGGATAAGTTCTCTGTATCATTTTTAGGGAAAAGAAATTATTGATTCTGGTGTTAGTTTGATTATGTAAACTTTTTGAAATTTAGAGGGAAAAAAGTCAGCTATGCATTAGACCAGGGGTCAGGAACTTTTTTTTTTTTTTTTTTAAAGATAGTAAGTATTTTAGTCTAAGTAGTCTTCTTCCCTTGCAATGACTCCCCTTTGCCGCTATAACGTGAAAGCAGTCATAGACTATGTAAATGGATGGATACGGCTATATTCCAATAAAACTTTACTTCCGGATGCTAAAATTTGAATTTCATATGATTTCTATGGGAAACAAAATGTTATCCTTCCTCTGAGTCTTTTTCAAACATTTAAAAATGTAAAAACCATTCTTAGCAACTGTGTCATACCAACACAGGCCGCCGGGCCTTGCTTCACCAGCCCCTGCATTAGACAATAATGGGAATATTTATTCATTCATCCTTGTCTTAATTAAAAACACTGAATGTGAATAAAGACATTGTGCCCAATAACACATACAAGTATATATAAAAAGCCATAAACTACATATATGGTTACACGAATTCCATGTTTATAAAAAAAGAAAGTAAAACTTAAAAGTCAAAATAGATCTGTTCCATCTATGCAGGTTTTCATACAGGCTAAGTGATGTATATAATGTAACATCACATAAAGGTAACGAGCAATGGAATTTATAATAGAATCTGATTCCAAGAGTCTGATTTCATAGAGCATTAGGACCATATGCTTATTCTGTCAGAAATAAAAATTAATGCATGAGTGAAATAAATGTTGTACCCAAACCAGCAAAGTCTGCAGTTAGGTTTACTATAAATGGTTGGCAGAATAAACTAAAGGAGGAAGGGCAAGGAAATTAAATTTACATCTCTAAAAAATAGTGATTGATAGCCCCTCGAAAATTAAAATGAAATGGACATAATACTACCTACTACAGATTACCCTGCCCAGAAATGAATTCTAACAGAAATTACTAAAATGTTCTGGTGCTACAAGGACACTAGAAAAGCATGCTGACATTCCTCAACCATAATGCAGATATTCCAAATGCAGCATTTCTTTGTTTTGTCTTTTAATGGTAACACTATTGGGAAACCAGGGCCAAAATATTGGAAGTATTGCTAAATACTTAACACAAACTTCTTTATGATCAATTTCTGCAAACAGCTTTTCTTAAAAACTTTTAAGAAGTTATTTTGTCTTAGAAAAAAATTGTGAAAAAAACATACATAAAGGTTAAAAAACCTGAACTCTACATGGGAGTTCAAAGGTCTGTCCACCAGTCCCTGAAAACAACCAACCAAATAAATAAACATGGGTTAGTTTAGCAATGAAGTGGGGGGGAAAAAAAATTTAAATCCAGACAACTCCATATACCAATATGGGTTTCATTTTTTATTGTTTAAATCTAATATTGGCTTAAGAGATGAAATGTAGATATATCTAGAAAATAAAAGAAAAAAATCCAAAATAGAATTTAACATTTAAACATGTCAAAAGCTTAAAGAAGCCAAATATGATGAGATACTGTGTTTCAAAACAAAAGAAGTGTTAGCATTCTCATGCTCAGTTCCCAACAGAAAAAGGAGACAAAGGAAGTTAGCACCTAAGCATTGGGATTTTCGCTAATTTATAGAAAATGGAAATGACAACTGAATGAAGGTGTAAGAGGTAAAGAAGCAGGAATAAAGCTATAATAAACTATTTAATAATGTAAATTTTGATATGGCCCTGGGGGTAGAGAAATTCAGGATAAACCCCAAACACATAACAATCCCTTCAAAGATGAGGGATTTAAAAATGCTACTACTGGGGCGCCTGGATGGCTGTCATTAAGCGTCTGCCTTCGGCTCAGGTCATGGTCCCAGGGTCCTGGGATCGAGTCCCACATCGGGCTCCCTGCTCTGGGGGAAGCTTGCTTCTCCCTCTCCCACTCCCCCTGCTTGTGTTCCCTCTCTAGCTGTGTCTCTGTCAAATAAATAAATAAAATCTTTAAAAAAATAAAATAAAATAAAAATGCTACTACTATTCTATCTTAATCACCATCTTCCATATCCAGTGAATTCCTTGATTGAATTTATGAACAACCCACTAAGAGTTACTGTTATTGATTTGTGTAGGAATAACTGTATTTGTCTATGTGTAGAAATGTCTGACACAGAACAGATACCACAAAATAATAACTATCTGGTATGTTTGCTTAACTCTGCTTAGCAAAGTGTCTGTGTGGATGATCCAGCTAATATCTTCATCTTTGAGCTTACTGACAAA